GTAGGCCACCTTGCTGAATCCTCGGATGAGAGAAAAAGGGCCACAGCCAGGTTCGGCATGGACCACTATATGGTCCCCAAGATGTGCGCAATGCATGCTCCTCCTGAGAACCCCACAATGCCCCCTGTCGATAGGCCCCGCCCTGTGTACGCAGTGTCTCATGTGCTTTAGTTCATTGTTCCTCACCGCCCCGCTGCAAGGCAGGTGATACAATACCCCTACTTAACAGGGGAGAAAACCAAGTCCTGTAGGCATAGTAGCTTTCGCAAGGTCACAGAGCCAGTAAGCGTGGGGGCCTGGATGCAAACATTTTTCCCTTGGATGATCTCTGCCCCAACCAGGACATTGGCACTTGTCGATCCTCAGAAAAATATGCCTCTGGTCAATACTTTCGTCTCCACTTAAAAATGAGGAATCTGAGGTCCAGGGTGACTAAAAGACTAGCAGCTGCTGGAGGCACAGTTCCCAGCCTGGTCTTTTGTCTCCTGAACAAATTCATGTGCCTCTTCCTCCCCGAGGAGGCCGGCTTTTGTTCCACATCCTACCGTTGCCTTTTGCTCCAGAGGGAATGGAATCATTTAGCCAAGATTCAGCCTTGTTTTAATATGCAAACTCAGACATCCAGAGGCAGCTAGAGATTCCCACTTCCATTACTAATTACTTGTTCAGCTCCATTCCGAACGCCCCTCCCCTCAAACACACACACTTTTTGAGGCTCTTTGCCTGCAGAATCTCAGATTTAGCTGTTGAAGCCCCCTTAGAGACTCCTAGACTGAGGTGGTCATTCTACAGATGAGGAAGTGAAAGCTTCAAAGGAGGAGCGATGTGCCCAAGGTTACGGGTGCATCTTAGAGTAGCCCTTCAAGGTCATTTGCTTCCAACTCCAGTATCAATCTCTGCAACACAGCCCCAGACAAAGGGGCTGCTTCACAAGATGGCCTGTCCATCATCAGATGGCCTCCAATTATTGTAAAGATGGCCTTGTGGTGAGCTAAAATATGTCTCCCTTCAACTCTTGCCCAAATTACCTGGTACTGTCCGTCTAAATGAATCTTTGTTTGTGTGATCTGAAGGTTTCTATCTGTCCCCACCTGAAATTTGGTGGGAAGACTTTATTTCACTCCTAAGTCTATTCTGTATGGCTAAAGGCTCTAGGGGACTGCTTTAATGTGGTATTTTTATGAAGCCTCTTTCTAAGCAACTCGAAAGTGTGCGTTTGGGGCATTTGTCTGAGTTAGTAGTGGGTAAAGGGCAGTATTTCTAAAAATAACTGGTGAGAGTCACTAATTCGATGGTCTGCAGGTGACAGTCACCCCAGCGGCAGGGTTCCCGCATCACAGGTGGACTCTCGGTTCACCAGAGCAGGATTTTAAGCAGAGCACTGCATTCCCCAAAGTGCTGGGAGTAGGCACTGTTGTGTATGAATCTGTGAATGGGTGGGTGTATTTGTGATTGAGTGTGGATATTTGAGTGTGTAAGTGTGGGTGTGTGTGTGTGTGACTGAGCACGAGCAGGTGAGTGCATGTGCGTGAGTGTGTCAGTGAATAGATGTGGGTGTATGTGAGTGTATAGGCAGAGATGGTACAAAGACAAATTAAAAATACTGTATCAGTCAGGGTCCCAGCAGGAAACAGATGGCACATGCAAATTGGGTAATTTGAGGAGAGTTTAATAAAGGAATTGTTTCTGAAGTGTGGGCAGGGTAGCGGGAAACCACCAAGGATAGTGCAATGCTTGTGGACAGTAACGGGACACTGGTGACTGCCCAGGTTGAAGGGGCGAGGGCAGGAAGCAGTTATTGGAACCTGGAGACAGAGGATAAGGCAGCCTGATAGGAGCTGTGGCCCAGCCGGGTTCCATCAGAAGCCTAGCGCGGGGCCAGCTGAGGCAGCCCAGGGCAGAGTCAGGGAAGGGGGAAGCACTGATGTCCAGTACACGTCCTAGCAACCTTCATTCACAAAATCACAGCCCTTCATTAACTTTTGGAGCTCTCTAACCCTGTTACATCCCTGGCGAAAGCATGCCCAAGAAAAACACACCTATTTAGAGACATGAGCCATGTTGCAGGCAATTTCTCTTTCTATAGGATACTTTATTTCTACAATTAAGATACAAATACATCCTTAGAGTAATAACTCCAAGCAAAACATATAGACACATAATGACATGCAACCCCCCTTCACTCTTCCCTTCCTGCTGCCCTGCAGGAAGTTAACACATCCCAGGGGTCTGGTCAGTTTCCGGTCAGTTTCTTTCCAGTCCTTTTTCTACATTTACATCTATGCCACATAAAATTCCGAGACTTTAAAGACCTTTAAAAGCCTAACCCTGGACCTCAGATTAAGAGCCCCTAGAATTAAGTGTGCAGAACCATTTTACACCTATTTTTGACAGGATTCACAGCTCACTGCTCCTCCCCCACCCCACCCCCACCCCCAGTAGGCTGAGATTTTGAGACTAGCACAAGATCACACAGCCTAATTAAGACACGCGTCAGGACTCAAATCCAGGGACCTGAACTATAGCCACTGCCTCTAGCACACCTTCCACCATCGCATTACTTGCAAAAAAAAAAAGGCAGTTCTAAGAGATAAACCCAGTAGTGCCTGCTGGCAAGGTGGGAGAGAAGCAAAATGGTGCACTTAGCAATGTCTGATTCTTGCTTCTCCCCTGAGTTCCTAAG